GAAGGTAATCAAATGCATTAAGAAAAAAGGAAAATATATTTTTAATTATTATATTTCCATTAGAAGAAGCATTAGTTGAAAAAATGACCTATGGAAAAAAAGATGAAAGAGAAAGTTTTATTTTTTAAAAATTGAAAATATTAATGATAGTTAAAATCCTTATTTTTTAAAAATTGAAAAAATAAAATTGATAGTTAAAATCCTCAAGAGAAAGATTATAATATATAAAATTATTTAATATATATTTTCATTGGATATGGATATATTTGAAGATCCAAGAAAAGCTATTAAAAGTATAGTGAGAGAGGAAGGATATGTAGGCGTACAAGATCAGGGTAAAAGTAATTTTTTTTTAAAGTATATTATTTAATTATCAAATTTAGATTATGAAATAATTGTGGATGCAATAACCATAAAAAATTGTGATCTTTTCATGCCCTAGGAATTGGAAAATATACCATTCAAAACTAAACGGTTCCAATTTAATTGGCCGTTATCCTAAAAAAGTGGTGTATTTAAATATATTTCCCAGGGTGGCAAGTCGGACAATTGACAGGTCAAATACTCTAAAATGTTATTGGTGAATAACTATATTTATTTATTGAACTAATATGTATTTAAAGGGTTAATGATGCTCACTACCTTAAGGTACTACCTATCAAATTTGAATTTTGTTCATTTTTCATTTGGATAGGCACTACCAAATATATTTATAATATATATTTGAAAAATCGTGATTTTTGGAAAGCCTATATGGCCTAGTAGGCAAGAGCTTGGCTTACTGATCCCATGGTCCCGGGTTCGAATCCCGTGAATGGTCATGTTTTTTTTCTTATTCTAACTTGGTGGCTCCATCCTTGGGGGGATAATATATAGGAGGTCGGACTCGACCACGTGATTCCGTATTAATATATTAAATAATAAGGGTCTTATTACATTTTAATAAATTATGGTCGGTATTTAGCAAATTAGGTTGGTATTTAGAATATTTCTATACATTCACTTGGTAGTAAGCATCATTAACCTATTTAAAGCATCATTAACCTATTTAAAGCATATTATCAATCTAATTTGTTTACAAATTATTTTAAATATATATCGATTTAATTATAATTTTATATAAAAATATAAAATTTTCTTATTAAAATATTAGAATTTCAATTTGAAATATAAAATAAAAAAAATTTTTCTCATTATTAATTTGATTGAATCTAAATATAAAAATAAATATAAAAATTTTACTTAAGCATGGTTTGAGAAAATTACTAATTGCCAATTTATATTACATTATGTACAATTATCCAAACAAGATGGGTATCATAAATAAAATGTAATGAGCAAATATAAATATGCAAGAGAGCACTAAAAGCAGCTGTTGAAGAAGTTGGATATTTGTCCGTGAGAAATTATCATTAATATATTAAATGATATTTTGGACAAAAAATTTAATATTTTAAACTATTCATAAACATTTAGCTATCTTATTGACCTTGGCTTACGTAAAAAACGAGATGCTTAATTTAGAAAACACATAATACAATCATGTCCATGATTTTATAATTTACCAACCTAAAGAAAAAATATTAAAAATAAGTTTGAAAAAGAAAACAATTCAAATACATGTGCTCTCGCTGTACTGCTGATTATTTAATGGATTCCCAATATAAGGGGAGCATTTTACTTTAGTTTGATGAAGCATATGACATAATACAAAAATTAGTCGTTTCATAAAGAGATGATCATCAAAAAATTTTAAGTGAAATCATAAATTTCAGAAGTAAAAGCGGAGTATTTAATAGCCAAAATATGTGGAAACCAGTAACTTTCATAAAAAACAATCAGATTTGGGGCTCAAGTTGTTGGAATGGGCATTGTTCACATTGAATATTAAGAGAAGTGTCTAAGAAATTTGATTGAAGTTCTCGACAACCAGAAAATTGGTATATATTTATTCATATTGTGAAAATCATTAAGTTTACAATATATAAGAATTAAATATTGTTTTCAATAAAATTATCAAAAATAGATTAAAAAATAAACCAATCATAAAAACAACGAATCCCTTTATTAATATTTTAAAAAATTACTTAAAAAATGAAATAATATTGTTGAAGTGAAAAAAGAAATTATGAAAAACCAAAATATAAAAATTTATATAAATAAAAATTTAAGTTCATCGAATTTAAAACAATATATAAATAACTTTTAATTAAATAAATCTTTCGCTTATTTAATTACAATGAATTTTCTTTCTAATTTTTAATATTAATATTTAGTAACATTTTTTAATATTTAAGTATCTTGTATTTAAGATACATTTTTTGACCAACTCTGTAAATCATTGGCGTACGCAGCGAGGAAATGCAGATGCCGGATATATTTTTCAAAAATATTATTGTTTATATTAATTTATATTTGTTAATATTTATTCGTATCTCATATTAAATATATATTTAATTACATTTATTATCACATTCATAAGTTATTTTATCAATTAATTTCGATTTCAAGTTTTCAGGCGTGATATTTACTTATTATTTTCAAATTTTTAACGGCCTAATATTTATCTACTATTTTCAAATTTATAGTCAAATAATAATTATTTCTGAAACTTCTTGTCCAACAGGGAAAAAGAAATTGCAACCTTGTCCAACGAGATAGAGTTCTGCCATCAAGCAGTAACAGCTTTTAAGGAGTTAGAAGAGCCAATTATTTGCTATTACTGAAATATCACAATGGCCTGAAAGAAATATTTCCCCAGAAGCAAGAAAATTATTGGATTCAATGCTTATTCCAAATTTTATTTCTCATTAGAATGTATTACTTAATTATACAACTATTTTAAGTATTACTTTTCAAAAACATGACATTGACTTGATTAAGAAGATAAGAATAGCGGAGAGCATTTTATCAGAACTCAAGGAAATTAGGGCTAATGTTGATGAAGAATTTCATATTTTATTGTTGAGTCAAAAGCAGAGGTATACGTGTTTAATATTTGTCTCCCTCGACTTGTAGCAAGGCAAGCTCATCGATAAAACATTAATATAGGATCAGTAGAAGAGTATATCTTAAATACAGATACATTTATAACCCAAATAAATGAATATTCATCATGCAGCACTTACTAATCTGCAAATATTACTTCCACAAAAGCCTTCCCAACCTTTTTCAGATGGTGATAGAAAAAAAAATATTTGTTAGATTTTTATTATGAAGATGTTAAAGTATCTTATGATGCCTTACTAGCTGAATAACTATGTTTATAAGATTAACAATGGTTGATATAGTCCCAAAAAATGCTATGGATGCTCTGCATTATTTCAAACACATTTTGATTAAATTCCCAATGTATTTTGAGGGTTTATAAACTCTTCCCGTTAGTAAACTAATGAGAGAACATTCTTTTTTTTAAGAAGAATAACAGAGGCCTCCAGAAGTACCATTTGCAGGGCATGGCACGGATTTTTTTTAAAGATTTTTTACGGCCCGGCCTGGGTTTTTTTTTAAAAAATTTCAGGCCCGGCTTGGTTGTTTTTTTGAAAAAAATTCAGGCCCGGCCCGGGTATATTTAAAAAAATTAAAATACTGTGCAGCCCGGGGGCCGGGCCTGCAGGTCTCTGAAAAACATACCAAGAAGTACAACATCTGAAAGTAGATTGAAAGGTTTGGATCTTTTGAATATTCATAGGCATTTGACTACAAGCAAGGATGAGATAATTGAAAAATTAGCTCAATCACAACGAAGATTGGATTTTACATTGTAAATATATAACATATAAAATACAATTATTCCTAAGAAACTTTTTGTGTAAAAGCTCAAAAAATTCAAATTTCTATTTTGGGTCATTTAAGTGATTCTTTACATATAATTTTTTTATAATTCACAAAAATTGTGTATTAGAAATAGTTATTAGTCCTAATAAATTTATGCTTGATATTTTTAAAAAACAATAATATTTCTTAAAAAATTTTATTATTCCCCCCCCCCCCAGACCAAATTCCTGCGTACGCGCCTGCTGTAAATAAATGGCATGTACAACTTATGGTATAGCAATGAAAAATCATTTATTTTCTCTCATAGAAGAAAATGATGAAAACTATTCCCAATTTTGTAATACTGTTCTACTACCTAAACATTTTATCTGTTCAAAAACCAAATTTTTAATGTAACAGTTAGTGTCACATTCCTTAAAATTTCGGGCCAACTAAATTATAAAAACTAATTTTCATATTTTTTTAAAAAAAATGATTTTTAAGAATAAATAATTATAAAATGTCATAATTGGATGTGAATATTTGTAAAATCATCGTTGGTAGGATTTAAATTTATAAAATTTGATTTTTTGGCAAAGTCATTATGTATTGTTCTTTGTGAGTTATTTTTATTTTATATAATTTTATATTTAGATTTAATTTGATTTTGGTTGAGTCATTATGATTGTGATTTTTGAGTTATTTTTATTTTATATAATTTTATTTTTAGCTTATAATACTGATTCTCAGCAAGTATGACTTTTATAATTTAAAAAAAAAATATTTTTAGATTATGATTGTTCGAATTATTTTTATAGCTTCCCTATAAATGGGAAGCGAATTATAATATAATTCATCCGTTTTTTTTCTGATTTTTGCGTAATAAAAAAATAAAAGATGTGTAGTAATATTCCAATTTCTGGTAATAATATTAAATGTTTTTTCTGCAAAATGTCAATGTTAAATTCATGGAAAATTAGTAAAATTAATCTTGATAACTCTAATACTTTTTTCATTTGTTAATTTAAAGAAATTTTCTCTTCTGCAAAATTCTAATATGTTTGTAAATAAAAGGATTCCAAGAGAATTTTAGAGGTCTGACGGTTATTATTTCCCAAGAAATAGGATAAAATTCGGATCCCTGATTAAAACGGAATTTTTTTATTTAACAAAAATATGAAAATATAGAATGTAAAAAAAAAGATATGGTTATTTGTAAAAAAAAAAAAGAAAAAAAATTAAACCGTGCTTTTTGAAATTGGATTCCCGAATTATACATACTAGAGCTAGATACTTGTTTACTTCGCGAAGATATAAAACAGCGGATGTATTTAAACGTATTATAGATTGAGATTGATCGTCGAAAGGACAAAATAATTTATCTTTGGGCATTCTTTAAAAGAAAAAAATAATTCCACAAGCATTATTAAATTAGATATTCCTAATTTAAACATAATAAATTTTAAAACGGTAAATATTTTTGGCTATAAGTACTATAATAAAATATGGGAGGGAATTAACTCATAACTCTAAAATGTTAACTCATTTGAACTTAAATACAGTAAAATCTTGTATGTAGACTTCCAAGCGGACATGAAATTTAGTAAACTACAGAGAAAGTTAAAATTTAAATTAAGACCAATTTCTTATTAAATTCTATCATAAAATATTATGTATATTTTGATAATCAGTTAAATTCAAATTGTTGCAAATATTGAATTTTTGGCTATCTTACTAAAATTTTTTTGAAACATTATCAGATAGATAGAGTAAAAAAATCAAATAACAATCGCGAGGAGTTAACAATAACCGATTCCTTTAACATAACGTCAGATATGCTTCAGATAAGACTTTCAAATTCAATTAATAGTAATTAACATCCTTATTATTACAAAGAGTTTTACTAAATTTATAATCATATTTTAATATCAGCTTTACAATAACTGATTACAATTTTTACGCCCTAAATCGTTAAAATATATAAGTGTTTCCTTCTCTGACAACATTTATTCAGAAATTTTCGAAAATATATAAGAAATATTTTCGCCAAACCGGTCTGAACCCGGGCTCCGCCTAAAAAAATTTTAAAGTTTGAGACCTTAAAATTAAAAATAATATTTTCGCTTCTTTTGCTAAAAAAAAATTAAAATTTCTCCTGTATTAGGACTAGGCCTAAAACGAATTATTTGTTATTTGATATTCGATGATTCGTATTTTACGAATACGAATAACACAATTATTCGATTCGAAATTTCGAATCGAATATGAATAATGAGGAAAATTATTCGTATTATTCGAAATTATTTATATATAAATATTCGTAATTATTCGCAAAATATATTATTGCAAGTAAAATAAAAAGAAGTAATTAAATTTTCCTAGTGGATATCATTTCGTTTTATTTTATTTCCTATTATCAAATATCAAATTATAACAAGTTATATTTGCTGAAAAAGTTTAATGGAAGAAAAGGAAAAGCTTTAACGTAAAATATAATTATTTTATTTTGATTGTTTCTCTTTAATCATTTTTGATGTTATGAACAAGTCAAAACATTTTTATAGAGTGTGCCTCTTTCCCATATTCTCGAGCTCCTGGCAGATAAATAACTAAAATTTTTTGACTAGTTCTTATTATTTGATTAGGAAAATCCTTTTCCCATTTAGTAAGCTTATTTTTGGCAAATTTTAAAGACAATCTAATTCAGATAGTGCATTAAAATATCTTCATCCTCTATTACATTGTCATGATCACCTCTAAAAATTATATTAATAATTAAATAAGGGAAATTTATGCTACTAAAGTATTTTTATATATTAAATAAAATCTATAATGAAATACTTTCTAAAATTTTGTTATATTTTATATGCAAATATTTAAAATGTATATATTTTAAATAGATTATAATTTTAAAAATTTTATTTTGTCATAATCACCTTCACCTCTAACTAATAAAATTATATTAATAATAAAAATAAATACATGATTAAATAAAGGAAATTTATGCTACTAAAGTATTTTTAATAAATAAAATCTATAATGAAATACTTTCTAAAATTTTGTTATATTTTATATGCAAATATTTAAAATGATATTTTAAATAGATAATAATTTTAAAAATTTTATTTTGTCATAATCACCTTCACCTCTAATAAATAATAAAAATAAATACATGATTAAATAAAGGAAATTTATATTTAAAAAAATGTAATTTAACAATTACATAAAATATAAATTTAAAAAAATATATAAATAATACACTGTACTTTGATTAAAATAGTATTTCCATAGATTTTAAGAATTAATAAAAAAATTATATAAATGTTATAACTAAGAATTTATTTTACAAAAATAAATATTATTTAAAACTAATATTATCATATTGCTATTTTTGATTTGAATTTATAAAGAAAGGTCTAATTTTCTCTAAGGTTTTGCTAATTCATAATAGGAATAAAAATAGTAAATTAAAATAATTTTATTTTTTAAAAAAAGACCCCCCCCCCCATGCCTATGCCACTGTTTAAATTTACTGTTTTTTCTTTCAGCTTCTAATGTGTCATTAATCTGGAATTTCAGGAAGGATGGTAAACTTGGATTTTATATGATATAATGTTAAAATATATTCAAAGATCAATTAGAAAATCTTGATGGAAGAAGATGTGGTGAAGGACATAGTCAATCCTCAAATAGTTCAAGATCTGCATCAATCTCTGATCAAACTGAACCTTTTAATGCTAGGCGGAAAAAATTATCTCCATGATGCTAAAAAAGAAACAGCTAAATGTAAAATATGCAATGTGGAGATGTGCAAGAAAAAAACTACGTTAGCACTAATTAATCATAACAAAAGATTTCATCAAAAACAAAATAATACTATTAGAAACTATTTAAATGATACACCCAAAACAAATGCTGATGATGTTAAGCATTATTTATTAAAATTTTTGCTAAAGTCAAATATACCTTTTAAAATTCTCGCCACTCAGGAATTCAAGTCCATCATTAGAGCTTTAAATCCTGAAATAAAAATATGCTCAATACCGTCAATTAAACTATATATGAATGAAATTTTTAATAAAGAATTCAATAAAGTTAAAATAATTTTAAATGCCAAATTAACTTTACAACTGATATATGGTCAAGCCCTACTGTACCATTTTTAGGGTTGATCTGCCACTTTATTGATGAAAAATGGGAGATGAAATCATTGTTATTGGATATAGTTCCATTTACTGAGAGAGTTTTCTCAAATTATAAAAAATTATAATATCGACATAAGTACATAAGTAAGATAGCAATTACTTGCGATAATGCTAGCTCTAATTCTACTTTCATAAAAAATCTTCGTATAAAACACCCAAATTGTGAAATTTTACATGTGCGATGTTTTGCACATGTACTCAATTTAGTAGTACAGGAAATACTTAAGAAAGTAGACAAGCAAGTATCAAAATTAAGAACAATCATAAAGATTATTCGCAATTATTTTACAAAAACAAATATTATGCAAAATGTGTGTTCCTCCCTACTTCCCCCTATGAAATATTTAAAATTAAAATTAGACACATCCATCAGATGGAATAGCTCTTATTTAATGGTCGAAAGAGCTTTTAAAATGAGAAGGGCTATTGATGAAGTTGTGACTCAGATATATGATGATATATCTGATATCGAAGAAAGAAAACTAACTGAGCGAAGTAATTTAATTTTATTTACTAATTATTATTTTTTATCAGGATGATTGGACTACTTTAATAAACATACAAAACAAATTAAAGACTTTTTTGATTTTACGAAGATATATGTGGTGACACATATCCTACCCTAAATCTTGTAATCCCTTTCTATGTTTCTTTAATCGAACATTTAAATTCATTTGATCTAGATTTTATAAACTCTATCAGTGCGATTGAGAAAATAGAAACTTATTATAACTTAACAAATATTCACAATATAATATCAACAATACTGGATCCTAGACTAAAAATGGAATTTTTTGAGCAACTACCAACTACATATAACATAGACACGACAAATCTATTAGAAAAATTTAAAGATGTATATAATGTTTACAAAATAAAATATAATATCAAATCAACATCAGTTAACCCAATAGTACAGGCGAACATGGATAGAATTTTTAAACAATATAACATGGCATCATTATGTGAGGTGGAGACATATCTTAACGAAAAAGAATCAGTTCAAATAAGAGTCCCTTAGAATGGTGGATATTGCATGGGGATCGTTTTCCTGTGTTGTCGAAAATGGCAACTGATATTTTGTCAATTCAGGGATCTTCGGCTTCATGTGAACGGTTGTTCTCAATTGGAACAAATATGATAATAAAAAATAGAATGTCTTTGAAGGAGGATACTATTAGAATGACTTTATGCTTAAAAAATTGGATATTATCAAATTCGGATTTACTATAATTTTATATTTTTGTGTATTATTTTCTATTTTTATAAAATGAGATTATTGTACATTTTTAGAAAATTTTAATAAAATTTGAATATTAGATTGAAGAAATAGTTTAAATATTTTTTTATAAGCAATTCAAATTTTAAAAGTCGGATATTTTGGTCAATTTGTTTGGTTAACGTTATATGAAATCATTGGGTTTTATTTCGTTTATTTTCTATAAATTTTTATATTGTAATGACAATTAGTTTAGAGAGTCCTTAAAAGTGTCATCTTTAAACATCTGTAAAAAAATTTTTGCAAAATATTTTATAAGCTTTAGAAAAATTTTCGAATCGAATCGAATATTCGACGAATCGAAACGAATAATGATTTTATTATTCGTACGAATACGAATAGCGCAATTATTCGCTTCGAATTTTCGAATCGAATACGTTTTTTTGTAGGCCTAATTAGGACAAATCAATTAGAGATTTTTAAAATTTTAATCTTATAAAATGTACATTTTTTTCGGAATTGAAACCTTTTTTTAAAAAATTTTCCAGGTTCAGGTTCGGGTTAGTTCTGGTTTGGTAAAAATGGGTTTAGGCTGGTTAGGTTCAAAAATTTGAAGGTTAGTTATTTATTTCCGTAAAAATTATGTTTATATTTTAAAATAATGCATCATTCAATATTTAGAAAGAATAAAATAATTGTTTCAAACTTCAAACTATTTTCTTCAAATTTAATTTTATAGTTTGTCTTTATAATATATATATATATCTTTTAACAAATATGGAATATAAAATGAATAATATATAAGTATATAAGAAATTCTCTTTCCGAAGCCCGCCCGAGAATTAAATATTAGAAAATAATCATATTGTTTATCGAAATGTTAATCAGAATCACATGTCATTTTTCATCTAACAAATTTCATTTATTCATCTATGTAATTTCCATTTTCCAAATTAACAAATCCTATGA